GGGCTGGAAGAAGCAGCAGATAGAAATGCAAACTGCAGTCACCAGCTATTTACTGATGATTGTGGGTCCTGTCAGTAGACACATCAAGTTTGTTCCTTACATAACGGCTTTAAATTGTGCCAGAGGAGGTTCAGGTTAGGTATTAGGAAAATTTTCTTCTTAGGAGTGGTGAGACATTGGAATAGGTTGCCCAGGGAGATGGTGGAGTCACCATCCCTGGAGGTGTTCAAGAAATATGTGGATGTGGCACTGAGGGACACAGTTAATGAGCATGGCAGGCATGAATTGGTGGTTGGACCAGATGATCTTAGTGGTCTTTCCAACTTCAATTATTCTATGATTCTATACAGAAGTGGCCCTTGCAAGAAAAGTTTCTATAAACTGATGCCTGAACTCAATGGAGAAACTCCATAAGATGAGGGAGAATCTGATTTGCTTTAGAAAGAAGTGAAAAGACGGAGTAGATACGACAAGATAGAGAGTTGATGTTTTCAGGGAAGATGAGGAGAAAAACAGAGAAAATGGTGGTAAGAATGAAGCAGAGATGCCTGTTAAAGTTTATTTTACACAGAGCCTATTGATCTCTAGACTAAGATCGTTGCAGCACTAGACTGAAAGCAGAACAGAGGAGCCCACCTCCATTTTAACCACTTCCTCTCCTTTTTGGCCGGGCAGCTGGTCTCAAAAGATGCCACAAAAGTCTCTCCACAACAATATATCCATCCGAACAGTATGCAGAGACTGTGTTCCTCTTCTTTAACAGGTCATTCTCCTTCTGTGGTGCTTTGTTCCTCCAGTGGCAGGTGGGGGAAGGTTTTTAGAGAGTCCAGAAAGAGGAGGTGCTGTGTGCAGGTGCCATTCCTCTGGAGGGCCTCTGCAGCCCTCTACCAAGGGTAGATTCCCATGAGAGTCATGGAATCATTATGTTTGAAAAGACCTCTAAGATCATCTAGTCCACCACCCAGCTGCCATCAATATTGTCCACTAGACCATGTATTCCCAGTTTTGTTCCACAAGGAAGGCAGACTGCACTAATTCGTTTCCAACTGCACTCTGCTCAGCAATCCTTCATGATGGCTGGGAACACGAGCTGCTGTCTGGGGCTTCCTAGCTGGGAGGCAGCTCTGGTGGCTTCAGACCTTATCCGGTAGCATCTGTTTCCACACCCTTTCCTTCACAGATGGTGCTGCCACAGGAATCCCAGAGTTCAAACTCACATCCAGCTGCTGGATATGCCTGTGCAAGGCCAGGGCAGCCACAGCCAGGCAAAACAGAGCAAGGTCTCCTTTATTACAGTATATAAAAGCAAGGGATGTGTTTATGGAGGTTGGGAAGAACTGGCTCAGAGCTAGATATTCTTCAAGGGGATAAGAGCCAGCTGCTAAGGGAACTAGCCTCCATCTTGGTTCCTAGTTGCATGTCAAATGTTATAGCAAGCACTAAACAACATTTGATAAAGCTCATAGCACTAATAGCCTACGTGACATCAATGGTCACTCAATCAAGTACTTGCAGTAAAATTTGTCTGGGAAGCATTTTTACCCCAAGTAAGTATTTGGTCTGTGTCGAAATGTTTCTTTCTGTTTTAGGGTCTAGATCTTCCCTCTCTGACAAGTCACTGCATGATTTCCAGGTGGGCAGGAGAGAGGCAATTGATAGAGACATTTATTTTTAGGTCCAGGGAGGCTCTTATTATTACCAAACACCTGAGGTTCCCCGTGGTTTCCATTTTTTATCCAAGTCTTTGGACAAGCCTTTTGCCCAGAGTCAGTGTGTTAAGGTTGAAGGCAGCTTTGCAGTAACATCAGGTGTGTGTCTATTTAACCCTGGACTTGACATTAACATTTTCCTTAGCTGCTGCATGCACAAATCAACATTATCTACCTTGTTAGCGTGCAGCATAGTTGGAAAGCATACTAGGATCCAGAGGAGAATGAAGTGGGGGTATTATTCACACAGAGCAAAGAGCAGAGCTCTGTAAGCAGGCTTCACGCTGAACAGGAAGATTTAAATAGTTTCTTCAGAGACAGCTTTGGCTCCTTCTGTTACACAGTTTTGCTCAAGTATTCAACAAATTATCTCATGAAGGAAGCAAATATTGCAAGAACAATATATTTTGTCTGTCTTGAAGGGGTTGGAAACCACAGCATGGAAAGAGCAGCCTCAGCTCCCTAAACAAGTTAAACAGAAAGGAAAGGCACAGAGAGGGAAATCCTCTCTGACTTTGTTATGGAAATGTGATACAGTTTGACATTTTAATTGCGATTCTCTCCTTATTATCTGGCACACGTTCACAGTGCCCAAGATGTTGTTTAGCGAATCCAGCTGCCTCCTCCACTCCGTTTGAAGTCTGGTGACTCCGCGTGATAGGGGAGTGTGAGAGTCAATGTGATTTGTGTATGAGGAAACATAAATATGTCACAGGAGTTTAGTCTTATAGGTCTGCAGAGTTTATACTCACAAAATCTGTTGTGCCCTTGTTTACACACCCAGATCCAAAGGCCTGACACACCCTCACTCTAGCTCAAAACTTTCATCATTTCTGACTTGTTTCTAATGAGACCATTGCAAAGCATGTGGATGATGTTTGACCACAGTTTAATGGACCCGGGAAAATGTGCTCTCAAATGTTAAGAAGAGCTTTAATCAAAGTCGATTCTTTGTCATTAGCTGAGACAAGCACACATGCTGTTCTGCTGCCACATGTACAAACTTCTACACACAGGCCTTCCTGCACACCAAAAACACATTTGTGCCAGCAAAAGGCAGGTAGGTATGTGAGCATTTGCATAGCCCTGAGCACAGCGATGCAGCACTGCCAAAATGCCCACCCCCACGTCTGCTCTCCTGCAGCAAACATCATCCAGCCAGAACTGCTGCTACAAACTCATCTGTTTGGTGCTGTTCTTCACCTGCAGTTCACCATTGCGGCCAAGCACGTGGGAAGGTTTGGGATGAAATTATCGTGTCTGTATGTAGCAGAGAAATGGAAAGTGTTATCATGTGGCATATTTAAAAACAAACCACAGGAAGCACAGAGGTCTAGCTTAAGGGAAAGGACCTGTGGGAACATGGGATCAGAAGCAGGTATCATAGCCTTTGAGAATGTCTTAAATCCCAGGCTGCAAAATTTGAGTACCTGATAATAAAGGATGGCAATATTCTCCCTTTCAAGAGGAGACTCTTTGAAAGAAGCGACTGTGTGAATAAAAAGATTCAGCCTAAGTCACTCTTGGAGTATATCTGTCTCTCTGAAGGCACTAAGCTCACACTGTGTCCTTCTTGGAGCTAGAAAAACTGATTTTTTAATTAATTTTGCATGAACAAATGACCTCAGTAAAGCTACCACTGAAAGGCTTCCTAACCCCAGCCCCAATCCTTTCTCCAAGCAGGGAAAAGAGCATTGGCAGGATCAACTTGAAAGGCCTGGCTAGATTTGAGCTCTCTGTTACTGGACCTTTATGTAAAGGAGTCATACAGGAAACATCCAGTTCTGCATCACAGAGAAATGTATGTCCTCGTTCTAAATTAGGGGCTGCATCTTTAAAGGTCTTATGCTTCTAACGTTTGCTTCTGCAGCTCTGATGAGCGAAGCGAGGTGGCAATGACCACTACATGAGTCAGAGTTTAAGGACGAGGAGTCAAAATGACATTCTGTTCTGGATGACAATTACTACATGGGAACTGTCAGCCGACTGCAGGATTAGATTGTTGGAGCTTTGCCTTCTCAGCTGCACAAAAGACAGCACTCTGCTATTGAACATCCCAAACTTTCTCCAGTTGTTGCTGAGTAGATTTAGAGAAAGTACCAAAATGGAACTTTGCTGTGCAACTCATAGCTTTCTATGAATCTGAATATATGTTTTCCCTTCATGGTCTTTCCTGTTCCATTCCACCCAAAAGTAATGTTCCTCTCTGAAGATTTTTGGGTTCTGGTAGAGAATCTAACAGCACCCTACAGTGACGTGATTAGCATTGGGATTGTGTGCTCGGACAGACGGCTCTTCTCTTTACTTCTTTACCATTCATTCATCAGTTATCTGTTATCTGCAAAATGAGATGACTCCCAACTCCATTAATTGCAGCTCCATGAATCCCAGCTCCAACTGCACAGTAATCACCTATCAACAGAATAGAAATTGCATGTTTTGTGCTAGTAGCCACCAAGCCCTCCTGGGAGGGTCTCAGGAGGTTTCATCCCATCTGTGATGGCTCAGTGAGACATACTAACATCACTGCCCAGCTCTTAAACATTATTTCTTTCTTAAGTTCAGAGTCTTGGCACAGCAAGCTGTTTGGAGGCCAACAGCAAGCTGAAGCCACGGGTTTAGTGATAAGGGAACATGGAAATGGAGCCAATACCTATTTTTGTCTCTGAAGCATGCGACTGACACTGCAGCAGAGCTCTCTCAGCTCACTTTTGTCCTCATGCAGAATGCCCAAATCATGTGAAAGTGGGAGGCCATTAGGGAATTCTGTAGAGTGGGAGCTCCTCAGGAGGGTTTCCCTCTCCCCTCCTATCCCCTTTCGTTCAAAGAAAGCTGCCTCCTAACCTAACCGGAGCATGAGATCAGTTGGCATTTGAGCCAGGCAGAAGCCAGGCAGCTTACAAACCTCTCTCCCAGGAGATACTGTCAGAGTTGTCACTACCATCAGCAGCTGAGCAGTTTGATGCATTGTGTGGTGGAGGTGCGACCTGCACCCTCAGCCTACAGTGGTGAGATGCTTGCACACAGGAACCGCTCCTGTGCCCGGCTAATACACAGAAGTCTCCAATGGCAGACCATGTGTCTGAGCCTCAAGAGCTCACTGCCTAAGTGAGGTGGCCAATGTGAGCTTCCCTTCATCTGTTTCCGTGCAACATTAGTCCGTGTAGTGCAAGCCAGTCTGAACAGTAGGTTAAGCTAAAACAGATGACTTTGCCCTTCCTCAGCTGAGGAGCACTGCACCAGTGTTGTGGGCTGTCATACAAATTCCAGCAGAAGCACTGTTACAAGTAGGTGTTGAGTGCAAACATCCTAAAATATTTCCTAGTCACTTGCAAAGTGAACTTCGCTCTCAGTGGCAAAGATCATTTAGTCCATTGCATGGAGGGGTCATCCACGCAGGATCCTGCACGGTTATCCGACACCAAAGGTGAGTGTACTCTGCGTGCATTGGGAGCTGGCTTACAAGCAATGTTGGAATACTGCAGGAGATGCAGGTTTCTGCAGCCAGCTAAGGCTGCTGAATAGCTCTGCTCTTTTCGGAGCCCACTAGCGTGATCCTTCAACAACTGTTTCCCACCTAATCCCTGCCTAACATTATTATCTCTGTTGACTGTCTCCTTCTCCCCCTGCCCCATGTCTCCTTATCTGATCACCTAACCTCTCCAAAATTAGCAGTGCTGTGTTTAGCTCTCTCTGGCACTCCTGTGGGTACTGGGTCTCACAGGGAGCCTACAAATTTCCACTGCTGTTTGAGAGAGCACTGACATCGGATCCCAGTGAGCAAAACTAAACCAAGAGGCCGGAGCCTGTGAAATGTTCTTAATATAGTCGGGGTGAATAGCTCCCATCTTGTGTTACACAGGTCCTGCTGTCATGTGTCCTGCCAGCCCCATACCCCTGTCAGGCAGGAGGGCAAGAGCGTGAGGTCACTTCCAACAGCTCCACTTCCATGACGTCGTCATGGCAAGCAGGGCAACAGCTCACTTTAGGCGTGGGAAGTCAGAGGAAAGGGCAGGCACAGGACTTAAGCTTTCCTACTGCTTCCATGTGAGCCAAACATATTTTTGGAGGTTACAGGGAGGTCATTTTTCTCCCCTTTCCTCCTTCTTGGAGGCTATAGTAGTGGTATCACTGTCAGCTTTTTAGGAGTTCTGGACTGAGGCAGCTTTCCTCCAGCCTTACCGGAGTATGAAAGAGCCATCTACAGGTGATGGGAGATAAGGCGACATGGCCCTACCTTTCCTCCCAAACAGCAGGAGGATGAGCTGGCAACCAGAGCTGGCGGCCTCTTCTTCCGTGCTACACCTTCTCTGGGTCACAGCCACTCTCTTGCAGGGAACTCACAATTTATCCAAGCTCTCCCAGTCTGCCATCACTGACTCCATACTATGCACATTCCAACCTTCTGGGGCCAATGAGTGTCCCTGGGGTGGTGAGGGAATGCGTCGCTTGAAAGCCACCATGACTGTGAGGGACCCTTGGAGGCACCTCTGTAACCCTGGGGGGTCACAGTTTTGGAGAGAAAAAGGGCAGGAAGCACCACGGTTGTGCACAGGGCCAGTCTTGTGCCGGAAAGAGTGGTTTTACACAGCTGGGCTCCAGGTGGAGAGCAGAGACTGCAAAACATTTAGGAGAAGCTGGGAACTTCTGGTCAGAAAAGCTGGGAGGAGGTCTGGACTGGAAAACCCCTTCCAGTCAATAGTTTCTGAGAGCTTTCAGGTAAGTCTATAAACTTTTTATATGTCTGCTTTCCCCTTCCATAGAAAACATAACAGTTCTTTCTTTCTCCTCCTTGGGCTTTTCTACATGGCCCCATGTTCACAGGACGCAGGAGGCATGGGCATAATTTTGTTTTTTTGCTTTCCTTTCCCCATTTGCCTCCAAGATCTCCTTTTCTCTTTTTTTCCCCATCCAATTCACCTTTCACTATCCCACTGTCACTCTTCCAGTTGTTCTCTGTATACTACTCTGGCTTAACCAAGCTCTGGTTTGTGAGTACCGTAACTCCTATGAGCTATCTGACTGACACATGACATATTTTTAAAGTGTGGATTTAGCCCCTGTGAGCTGAAAAGCAGCAGTCAGCATGTATGAGCTGTGCAGCATAATAGAAAATAAAGCTTTTAATTAAAACTGGTATTTCAGGACCTCTGCTGGTGGCAGCCCTGCTGAAATACGACATTGCCGAAGCCCTCCCAGTTGTAGTGTGACCCCATCTCTGGAAGCTGCAGGTCTCAACGTCAGCACCAGCACTTTGTTTAGTGAAAGCACTACACGTAATGGGAAAGTACCCAGCTGGGGCTCAGAGTAGTCCCATCACGGGGTGATGGCATGTACCAGCATGGCAGAGGGCAGATCACAGCCATGATGCTGCTTTTCACGTCGGTTCCAAGAATGTCCATCTTAAGTGATGTGGAATTCAAACTTCATGGAACTGTCCCCTATGTAAGTGGGATGGGACCCAAGGAGTCATAGAATCACTTGAGTGGGAATAGACTCTTAAAGGTCATCTAATCCAACTCCTCTGCACTGACTAAGGACACCTACAGCTACATCAGGGTGCTCAGAGCCCCATCCAACCTGACCATGAATGTCTCCATGGATGGGGCATCCACAGCATCTCTGGACAGCCTATGTCTGGAAGAAAGGCCTTCTGAGACCTGACCTTTATATTTCACATAGGGCAGCCCCTCTTCTTGCATCTTGCTCTGCTAATATTACATTTCTTTTATCCCCTTCATCCAATGCACCTGCTGCTGCTGACTCTCTGAAGTGGTCTCCAGGAAGGTCACAACACTGAAGTTATCAGCTCACCTGCAGCTTCTCTAAAGTGTCACCAAAGACACAGGAAGGCAGGAACAGGGATTGCTGCAGTGCAAGCGGACATACCTTACTGATGACTTGCTGGCAGGCCAGCATCTCAGAGAGCAGCCATAGGCTGGGCTTGGTATGAATAACTGTCTTAAAATGGAAGCAATGCTGCCCACTGGTCTCTGGATACCTTACCTCCTTGGCACAGGCTGAAAGGGCACGAGGGTCTTCAGCCAGCTTTACTTGGTTCTTGAGCACCCAGGGCTGAGTTCTCAGCAAGGTGTAGGAGCTTGACACAGCACTTCTCCTTTCCATCTGTCCCACTTTGACCCAACCACAATCTTCATCCAAGGCATGACTCAGAAAAGGATAACTCACAGTCTAAATTTACAGTATCTTTTTCTTCTAAATTTTCAAGCAAAAAAAGCATGGGCTTCACAGACTGTGAGGGCAAGGTAGGTATTTCCTATCAAAGGGAAGTAAATCAGTGCTCTGCCTGTCAGGGTGCATCTGCCAGCATCTTATTACTACATTAACAGTTACAGTTCACAGCAAAATCAGAGAGATGGAAAAACTAAGGCTTAGGATAGAAGAACAAGTAGTTTTTTGGACACACATGATACCCAGTGCTCACAGGTCATTTGAAAATATCAACTTCGTCAGACAAAGTTTCCAATATAGGGGTGGGTTATGGGGAACAAAGATTCCTTGAAGAAGGAGCTGTACCCAGGGGAGTACCACCAGACAGGTGATGGTTCAGAGGTGTCTTTTGCTCAGCAAAGAGGAGCCCACTCTGAAGGGCTGTGTGCCCCTTGCATCCTTAGGTCTAGGCCTTTCACACACCAGCAAGCGTGGAGTTAAGGCTGCAGTCAGTGCAAAATCCAAACATTTGCAAGTGTGGGAATTCCCAAGGAGAGCAACCAAACTGCCTTAACTCTGCCCCTGCAGCAGTGGCTTTGTGCAGCCTGAAGCCGTCTGCCTGGCCAGCTGCAACAAAGAGTTTAATCTTATCAGTGGCCATAAAAACTCAAATTCCTCTTAGCAGAATTGCTGATGGGGACGGTAGTGCCAAGCCTGGCTTCACCACGCTCCTGTACAGTCAACAGGGAAGAGAAATGCTGTATCACAAATTCCTGAGCCCCAGCTCCCCGCCTCACACAGGGCCAGCAGTCCTGTTGGCGACCCAGTACCTTGTAGGGTAGCATGGGGTCCAAAATGCTTCTCCCCCACCTCAATCAGGGGCAGGATTTTTTATGTTACTGAGATTAAAAAGGTCCAGCGCTTCCTGCAGGCTTGTCTGCTTGGCTGCAGGTGGGCCCCACAGCTCTTCACTGGTGGTCTGCAGGGTGTGCAAAGGGAGGGCCAGGCTTTTTGGTCAGAAGCTGCAGGTAAAGCTGTTCTCCTCCGTGTAAGATGTTTTGAGCTCAGCAAGGGATGCATGCATCCACAGGAATGGCTTGGCAACACCACTTGGCACGGAAAAAGCAGTGCCTCAAGATCTTGTCACCTATCTGGGCTGGCTTCTATGTATCTGTGCACGTGCTGGAGAAACCAGTGGGCTCAGGTCTCAGGCATGGCTCTGGGCTTTGCCTCAGTGGCTCATTTTGGTGTTACTGTTCAGCAAAAAGGTGGTAATGAGACTCTTTGTCTCCCTTGATCTGCCACTCAGAGCTGTGAGGCCTGTCTTGCAGATACTTCGACCAAGGTGCCACCTCCACTGGCACCAAAGTCATTGTGACTGACTCCTCTCCATCCTCTCCATCTCAGTCTTTGCCCCTCACCAAGCCTCTCATATGTAGGGACCTTGCAAAGTAAACATCAGCACTCCTGGTCTGTATGCAGCTGTCTTCTCACCCTACACATGCCACCACCGTCATCCATTCTGCTGTTCCACATTCATTCCACTGACTCCCTTTTTATTAGCCCTCTCTTGAGATATTTATCTACCCTGTGCCATGATCCCATCAGCTATGTGCAGTCAGTCCACACTTTCAGAAGGTACAATCATCTTTGCATTTCCCATGCCCCTCCCGTATGGTGTATCTCAGCCTGTATACTCATGCTTGTTTTCCTCCCTATGCACACACATGGTCTTAACAAATACACTTTTCACCTGGGGCTGTGAGCCAAAGTTTGAGCTCTCCTCTGGCTCAGACTAGTCTCTAAAAGGAGATGTTTCATCCAAGAGCAGAGGCTTTCCCCCTGCTTTGGAGCAGCTCATGGGGAAGACACCCAGAATACCTCAGGACAAAGCAGCTACATGTTAATGACCTGGAGGGACTGTGATCCAGACACACTTGGATGCCTTCAAGAGCTGCTGTGTAAGCACTGCTCCTAGCTCTCTGAGGTCTTGCTCCTGATGCTGATAGGAAGTCACCCGGCTTACATAAGGGAGGCTGGTGGAAATATTTGGCATGCACTTCACCTGTTGATAAGGCTGGACTATCTGCCAATACACATTGTGCCTCTCCCTCTGTCTGACTTGGAGTGGTCTGCAGTTCTCATCGCCATCATGTGTCAACACCTGTGCCTTCTGGCTCATTCCCCTTGCCTCACCCTTCATATATCTTGGATTAGAGCTCAGCACAGGGGTTGGCCAGGACCCCAAAGCCCATG